AAAAATAAAATTTAAGGCTAAAATTCCAAATTTATTTTATTACAACATTATGATTGAAAACCCAAAGCTGAAATCAAATTTTGTAGAAAAGAAGCAATAGTGTTAGCGACTACTTATATGTGCTGCACCTTATAGTAATGATGAAAGACTCCTCCCTTAAATAAAAAATGATCCTAATGAAATAATATAATTAAGAATTTAATTTGAGTTAAACATGTTTTTAAATTGGATTTTCATTTCAATGATCAATGCCTGTTGAGAGTTCCCATTTTGTAAGTAAAAACTGAAAAGTTTTGATGAAATTGTTTATAAATCTGAAATTTTTACAAATTATAAAAAATAGAGAAACATTATTTTTTTTTTTAAGTCTTTAAACTTTCCTTTAAAGACCTCGATCAGGTATAAATGAATTTTTATAGATTCCATGAAAAATTTCAGTATAATTAAGTTAATAGCTGCTAAATATGAAGTAGAAAACATAAAGATGATTCGCTACAGGAACACACTCTTGTTTCTATATGGAAAATATAAATGTCTTTAAATTCCATTATACAGTAAAAGGAGTAGCCTCACAAAAGCTCAGATGTTGAAATTGATTTGGTATTCCTAAGTATTCCTAATCATCAGCTCACAGCTTGTCCGGATTTCAACTGAAATAGAAAAATAACTGCTATCAAATTTGTGCCTTAATTGTGAAAAACATTAATAATGATTCCTGATCAAATGTGATAGGAAAACCAGTGGTGAAATGAAAATTACAAGGGAAACCTGACTGTGGAGAAAGGTGTATTAAGTTAGTGACAATAATAAGAGGTTCATAGAGGGCAACATTCTAAGGAAATTAAAATTTACTTTTCATCTATTCGCAAAAATAATGTTTCCGTTAATAATATAATTGTAAACATGTCAAAACATATATTGCCAAGGGAGTGGAAACCAACTAGCAATTTTAACCAATATACTTATGCCTGAATGTGTGACAATTAAACTATCATGATTGTTAGATCACAATTAAGTTAACACCACTAACTACATATATATATATATAGCCAAAATATGAATAATGAAATTTAATGTAGATGTACTAAGTAATTCAATGTGTGATGTGAGAATTACTAAGTAATTCAATGTGTGATGTGAGAATTACTAATGGATGAGAATTAATCCCTTGCCATTTGATGGAAGTTTGAAATTAAAATAAAATTGAATTATAAATGTAATCATATCATTAATCTGTAATATTTTGCCTTTAATCAATCTCCAGACTTTTCCAAATAATTGTGATGTATAAAAATGATTTTGTAACACATAGAAATGATAACAGGAATTACCAAAAATATTTGTCAGTACAACAGACCAACACAACAACAAACAACCAAGACCTCTTGAAATTGTAGGTCTTTTTATACAGCAATCTCTTAAAGTCACATGAAACAAGTTCTAATGTATTGAACATGCATATATACTATGCTAAGTTTTTTACAAATACATAACATATGATCTACCAAAAATATATCACTACGTAATTGTTGATAAAAAACTTTGGCTGCAAATAACCTTTTAGGTTTTGGTACCTTGATAAACAATCAACACAAAAGCATTGGAAGAAGTGTATAATAAGTGAGGTTATAAAGTGATGTTTGTTTTATAATATATATTTTTTTAACTTTCAATGTGTTCCCATTTGTTAATTAAACTTTGTCCTAACATTTTGTATGTTTGACTCTAATCTTAATTGACTATGATTGTCAGTTTTCCTACTGAAGGTTGGTGGTTCTCTCCAGCTTCCTCCTCCAATAAAAACTGACTGCCACGAAATAGCACAATAGTGCTGAAAGTGGGGTAAAACACCAATCAATTAATCATATAGTGGTAGATTAAGTTTATGATGAGAAACTGTATGTCAAGTGAAAATAAGCTTGCATGGTATCGAGCCATTTTATGACCAAAGACACCCATGGTAGCTAACATCACACAGAATGTCAAATTATTCACAAGACAAAAGAGGAAAGCTTTGTAAAATGGTTATCATGGAGACATGAAAATAAATTTGGCTGATTTAAATCTATGTAAGCCTTGACAAATTAGAATGGTTGAAGTATGAGATGAGCATGGTTGATGTAATGATTACTTGATACCTTGTCGTAGTTCAAAGTCACCTAAAATCTCAAATTATTTTATTAAATTAGAAAGTTGCCAGTATGACTGTATGAAAATGTTTGAAGTATGAGATAAGCATGTAGTTTAGATAATTTTTTATAAACAAAATGAAATATGAAATCTAGCTGTCTTTTCAGTATTTCAAAGTCGCTGATCCTTTTGAATCCCTCAGAATACATCTTAATCAATTTTCTCTCCCTTATAAACTTGATATCATGCAATCAGAGTACGTCTACAAAGACATAATGGAAATGTAATTTTTGTCTTAGAATTTGACGACTTTTAGAAGCCACATGACAGTGAACAGAGTTAATGATTGTAAGAAGGAAGTGTATAATTTCCTTTTAAAATGACAGGCTTCCAGCAACGTTATACAAATTGGTCGTTCCTTTTATATCATCAGCTGAAAGCTTAATAATACCTTTGAAAATTCACTCAGAAGAATCTTAAAGAAGTTATTGATTGACAGTTCCATTGTACACTTATTACGTTTGTTACAAAATCTTGTTTTATTCTGCTTAGATGAAGTACTTTCCTTATGATCAAATTTTTGCCCAATTTTTTTTGGAGATTTGATTTATTGAATATCTGAATATTCATTATTGGGGCAGATATATCATAAAGATTACAGTTGTGCATGCACATGTACAGTTTTTGATGAGTTGTCTCTCTTTTTCTTCAGTCTATTGTACATATATCAACGGAAACAGCCAATAAACAGTTAGTAATGGGAAGCTTGCTGAACATTTCTATTCTGTTTCATCTCTAGAACACTGAGGTTTAAAACGGATGCCATGTATATGCAAAGATCCCTTTATGAACAAAGCGCCCTTGGATAGCTGAATAGAAAAAGATAAAAAAAAAAGAAGGAAATTTGAAGGAATCCAACTGTCAACTAATATTTTAAAGTGCATTGACTGCCATTTTTTGTCAGATTTTCCATTTATTTTTGTTTTTTTTATAATAATAAAAATTGTAGACTAAAATCAGTTTCTTATATTAATGTTATGCTTGAACTTTTTGTCAAGAAAAATTTTGAGGAACATATGCTAAAAACCTTACAAAGGAGAAGTTTTCTTTTTTTAAACATCTAGGTTAGTTGACAGAAAGATAATACTATTTTTGACCATTCTAATGGATAAACAATTTTGAAAAAGGCTGTAAGAAACCTTCAGTTAAACATATATAGAAAAACTTGATGAGAATGATTTCGATGGATAATGAATTTTGCAGTGGCCAGGTTAGTTTTATAGGTTTCTATTCTAGTAAAATGGAATTGTACCAGTTTACCAAGAAATCCTAACTTTGAATTAACAGGAAAAGGCAGCTATATAGACTCTCGGTATTAGAGATATGAAGCGTTACAGATGATGTTTTTTATTGACTATAGTGACAGTGTGAAGCACCTGGCTTCTGATTGGTTGTATGATTTATAATGGCAGATGATATTGGGATTTTAGTATTCCGGTCAAAGCTAGTGTCCTTTGAGATATTAAAGTAGACACTTTTTGTAGCTACAATTGTAGTTGGTCATCAAATATGACAGTACTTAATTCACAATTCATCCTTTTTCAGGAAATAACAACTAAGGTTTTGTGTTTTTCTGGAAGTCTAAGCCAACTTAATTTCCTTTTATTTTCTATACTTTCTTGAGGCAAACCCTGCTGATTTCCTTTTAACTCATTTCCTAAAGTAGGTGCTTATACTGCAGTGTTTGAGGAAAAACACTTATTATCAGGTGTACTTTGAGGAAAGTGATTTAGAATAAAAATTTTCCATTACAGACATAGCAAAATATCATCAATGATATTTCTCAATTATGTGTGGAGTAATGACAAAGTTTTAAATTCATCTTTGAAACAAAATATTCCCATTTGGATCCTCCATCTTACAGATCAATAAGTTCTATTCCTGTGGATATGTCGTGTCTTGTTAAGTTGAAAGCCTTCATCCTGAAGCTTGTTAACAATGTAACATTTTACTGAACCTAGCGCTCAACCTTGTCAGAGACCCATCAATGTAATTATTCAAATACGTAATTCGCCTCCAAATTATCCACGTTTTCTATGCCGTCAATGGTTCCTTAATTTGTTTCCTATGCTGAAAGACGATTAATGTAAATCTGGTAAATTCTTGTCAATCGTAACAGAATTACGCCAAGTTTGTGATTGGAATTTTTAAGTGTTCCTCATTTTTAACTTAATTTCTTTTTGATTTACAAGAAAATTTGCTGTTGTCCCTTATTTTCTCAAGCCTAATCGTGCATAAGAATTTGAGAAAATTCAATATGTATAGAGCTGTAAATTAGGTTATATTTGGTATTTCTATGATAATAAGATGCAGTTAGATTGGAAAAAAGATCAGACTTTATTGCCTTTTTAGATACAGCTCTATAAATGTAAATGTAAATATTTGTTTTTCTTCATGGAAGTGTGCAGCACACATATATGAAATGTTCTAAAAAGATAATATCCCATATCCTGGTATCGGTAAAACTAATATATAATCAGTCCAAGTTATAAAAAAGGCCATAATTTTATTCAGTAGAATGTATGCTTTTTTTTCATTCTTTTTTCACATGTCTTGAAAAAGAAATCTTTAAATTCTGTAACAATTAATATATAACTTTTTGAAGATAGGTAGGATAGATAGCATGTACAGAATTTACATTTTTAAAGTTTTGTACAGTATTACTGTGAAACCCTTCTACTATAATAAGATATGAGATATACATGGATGAGACATCAACCCAATACTGGGCCTAAATAATACCATAAAACTAATATGAATGTCCCACAAGAACCAAAAAATTTAAATGTTGCTTTAACTTAATTTTTCAGATTTATTGTTTGGGAACTGTCAGAAAGGAAGCAGTTTGAAAGACTACTATCGTTATCAACTTAGCCCACAATACTTAGAAGCCTTAGAGGCCAGAACATGGGGACTCGTAAAGAAGGGGTATTCATGGGGAGATCCCTATACTCAGTGTACGCTACAGAATGCTCTGTATGCATTTCGTCACCACCAGTCTCCACGTTACAGCATCTGTGATGAATCAGAGACAGACAGTAAATCGGAAGCTGTGGAGAGTGAAATCTCGGCTGTTTTAGAAAAACTGTTTGAACAATATTATGATGAATACAAACGTCCTTCATCTATACCACATAGTAATTTAGGTTTTCCAAGTAAAAGAGATGAAATAGTTTATGTACACAAGTATTTTGACAAATCACCAAAACCTTACACTAAGAAAAATTACTGGACAAATTCTAACTACCTCGGAGACAGTGATGACATTTATTATGAAGACACGCCAGACTCTAGAATAAGTTTACAAGATGTCAAAAATTTGCAACAGTATTTTCAAGATTTAGAAGATTTACAACAAGAGAAAGATGATAAATTTTATACTCCTGAGACAGAATCTACATACAACACGCATAACTTGATCTATGGAGATGAATTGGGACAGTCTAGTGAAGGTAGGAAAATTATGCTCTTCAGGGCTTACATTGTTTTTTCCTTGAAATTTTGACAAATGTCAATGTTATAATATGCGCTGGAAATATCCCAAGGAAAATATTCCTTCATGACTTTCTTTTTGAAATATTTCAGTATGATTTTAGCATGTTTTATGTACATATAAAAGCACAAAGTTTTTAGATTTCAAAACTTTTCAACAAAAAAAGAAGACAAAACTTTAAAACGAATGGAGATGTTTTCACCAAATTTGTTCTCTCCAAATATTTGAGTGGGGAAATCACAAAATGAAGGATGGATGTGGTAAAACTGTTTGTGATATCATAAAATGATTGGTAATAGAAAACTTTGGACAATTTAAAGCTTTTGCAAACTTATACAGTAAAAAAACTACAGTTGATTTTTCCTGTAATGTGATGTAAAATTCTTGTAGCAGCACACACAATTGATTGCAAAAAGAAAAAGAAAAAATAGGGGTCTGCGAAATTTAGGATGTTTGTCATAAGCAATGTTACAATATCATTGTGGTACATTTAAATGCGTTATTGTCTGCCCCTGCTATTGTACCATTTGCTCTCTAAGGAGGCATCCACTGAAAATCTTTATGTGTTTGAAAGAGGTTAAAAAGAAAGATAAAGATTGATTTTAGATTTCATCTTACAATAGAAATGAAAAAATAGGATGCTTGATGATTAAAAGTTTTATTTAGTATTATAGATCTGACTACTTTTATTGCAGAAGACGATTCTAGTGCTGTTTTCAGTGATCTGCCAGAAAAATACAAAACAATCCTAAAAAGATTATTATCAGGTATGAGATAACTCTAGTCCTGTTACTCTTTTAAAAATTCATCAACAGTCAAGTCTTAAGCTTCTATTCAAAAGATAAGCATAACAGTTCATTTTAAAGAACTTTGGAAAGACATTATAATGTATGAATAAGGCCATAATAAAAAAATCCTTAATACTCATCACCCTGCCCAGATTATTTATTTCTATTTCTGGCTATTTTCTTTTTCATTCATTTTCATATTGCTCGAGGTTTTCACCTAAAAGGAAAAAAAATAAAATTTTCATATTTTTTGTTTTTTCATTCAGTTATCTGATTAAGAAAAAAATTAGTTTTAAATGAAAAAATAATTTGCAAACGAAACAATTATAGAATATCAAAGATACAGTTTTGATTTATAGCAAAACTCAAACAAAATAAACATTATTTTTATTTGAATAAAAAATGCCTTGAGCATACAATGATATTTCTGGTTTTGAAACTAACATAAAAAATAAATTAGAATTTTTGCTTGAATATTTGAATGTATTATAGACTTTGAATGAGTTTGATATTACCTATTTTAATTATTAACCAGGAGAACATTAGAAGTTCAAATCTTGTTTACGAGTCAATAATTATGAGAATGACAAATATCTTGGATTTTATAGCCAATGCCAATTTTTATGGGTTTTAACGACACAGTCTGATAGATCTGGTTAAAAAGATATTAGGAGTACCGCACTTTAATGCCATCGTAAATTCCGATCAATCAATTAGATCTAATTTAGACACTGGCATGATTCTCCACGCAGGGATAACGGTATTAATTTTATTCAGTCTCCACATTAAACGTATTGTTGAAGAAAATGGAAGAATTGATGAGAAATTAAGAAATACTAATTCCGCTTGGTACAAATCGTAATGAATACTGTATTTAGGTATAAAACAACAAGTTCTGTGCTTTATTAGATCTGAGGGAAATCAGGTTTTCTGCCCGGCTGAAAGACAGATATCCTTGGCAACATATTTCTTGTGAATTAGCAATCATCAAGGCTTTTGTTATGCAGGCTGGTTTATCGACAGTAATCTTTGCAGTTAAATATTGACAGTGTCAGCATTCCTGCAGGGTCAAAGCTTATTAATAAAGATCCCTGGTTTTGAGGTTATTGAATCCACATTCCATTATACATTTAAGATACCAGTACATTCAGTTTGAACAGAACTGTAGATTCTGCCTGATTACCATGATTACATTGAGCATCCTGATTCTAAGTTTGTTAATAATGATTTTTTTTTTATCAAATTAAGCTTGTTACCATTATCTACAGGTAAAATATTTATAAATAACAGTTGAACAAAAGAAAACACTCGTAAACTGACAAGATTTTTGTGTGATACATCCTGTAATTATCCTGCTCTTTTGAGATCGAATAAATATGGTTTTCAGCATTTAACCTAGCTGTTTTCTTTTTGTAAATTCATTGGGGTGTAAAAGCATTGACCGAAGTACATTTTGTATGAAGCGCGCATTCGCTTCATTCTAAAAATGTACGCACGGTCAACGCTTTTACAACCCTATGAAATTACTTAAAGAAGCATTCAATACTTATAATTACATTTTTTCGCTATGATCATGAAAACACGATTACTATCATTTTTTTCTTTTATTTACCTGTGCACTTTATTGTGGAAATGTGTGTCATCATGTATGTTACAATTCATGAAATTCATTTTGAAATGAAGAATGATGCGAGATTGCTGTTAGCCAATCAAAATAACGTATAATAATGAAACATACATCTAATGTAATTATTTGAATTTTAGGCCTGTATAACTTTTCATACTTACTGCACAAAATCCAGCCCAGAAAATAAAGTTGAATTTGACATTCTTTTTGCACAGAAATTTAATAATGAAGACAATGTTATTTTCTTATAAGTTGTTTTCGTATTAGTAAGCTCTGATTAAGACATAATAAACATAGATAGTTAAATAAAAAAATTAGGTTAAAAACACTTTGATATTTTTTCAAATAATTAGAATTCGACCTGAAAAAAGTTTTAACATATTTTGATTATTCATCATTATTGTGGCGCCTGCGACTTTTGTCGCAAAAGCGAGACATAGCGATCCTACATTCCGTCGTCGACCACAAATATTCACTCTGTGGTTAAAGTTTTTCAAATTTTAATAACTTTCTTAAACTATCCTGGATTTCTACCAAACTTGGACAGAAGCTTAATTATGATCATAAAATAGTATCCAGAAGTAAATTTTGTAAAAAAAAAAATCCTGTTTATCTGTATTTTACTCATAAATGGACTTAGTTTTTCTGCCAGTTAACATTACATTCACTCTGTGGTTAAAGTTTTTCAAATTTTAATAACTTTCTTAAACTATCCTGGATTTGTACCATACTTGGACAGAAACTTGTTTATGATCAAAAGCTAGTATCTAGAAAGAAATTTTGTAAAAAAAATTTCCTGTTTTTCCGTTTATTACTTATAAATGGACTTAGTTTTTCTTCCAGTTAACATTACATACAGTCTGCAGTTAAAGTTTTTAAAACATTTATTAGATTCATAAACCATCCTGGATTCTTACCAAACTTGAACAGAAGCTTCTTACATTCAAAAGATAATATCTGGAGGAAAATTTTTAATAATTATTTCCCCATTTTTGTTGAGCCTGCGACTAACAGCAAAAGTAGGCGAGACACTGGGTTCCAGTGGAATCCTTACAGATTTTTTTATTTTCTCAATGTATTTTATGACCTGCATTATTTTTAGTGGTTGACAGGTATTCATATATTATCTTAGAATGTTTTTTTTTTGTAGAATCCTAATACATGTAGTAGTTGAAATCCTGTCTCAATGAATTATAACATATACAAAATTTGCAACTGTGGGATTTTTTTTCCCAATAAAAATGTGTGGTTAAAATAGTTCTATCAGTACTCAGCCTTCCCCCTTTATCTCAAGCAGTGGAAGTACACCTTGCATGTAAATATTCAGTTAAAAGCACTAACTAAAATTATATTATTACAGATGATTTAATAATAGCCACATAGAATAATAAAATATGTTACTTTCTCAATAAATGCTTGCAGTATACCATGGTATACTCAAAGTATGCTCACAGTATGCTCTATTTGTTGATAATGAAATTATGCCTTCTCCCACTCTACCTGGTAATATAGAACACTGCACTTTTAAAGGAATTTTACTGCAAGATCATTAATATTGAAAGAAAATACTCAATTCAACACTGTTAAAAGATTGGCTTGAAAAAATCCAAATATTGAAAAGAAAAGAATATAATCAGACAATTAAAGTATAAATTTCGTTGAATTTTAAGATCAATATTTTTTCTCAAAAAACAAGATGATATTATATACCAACAATAGAACTATAACCTTCATCAATAAGTTGCCTTTTACCAAACAGAAAGATTCAAATAATTTTACTGTTGAAAACAGATTAAATCGTGGCATCAAAATTAAAGCAAACCCTAATTTTACTTCATAATACCCAAGACAAGATTATGAATAGCTAAGGAAATAAGATATTCTAGGAGAAGGCCCCTTTAGAAAATATATCTGTTCAGGAAAGGAAATAAGTTATGGGGAGAGTCAAAATTTCCTATTTGTCATCAATCTGGATGCAAAGATTTCATGTATATATATAGATTCTACCACAGCATCGTGTGTGATACAATATTTCTCCACAGGAGACAGTAAAATTTTCAAATTTAAAATATGAGGCTCGCAGAGCATTTTAAATATTTAAGATTTAACTGTTGAGAGTGAAGAAATTTGATATTGCAGGAGATTTGGTGGTAGAATTTGTTTCTCTAATGATTTTAGATGATATGCAGACAATCTTAATCCCAATGATCTTCAAAAAAATGTACTCTTTCTAAGTAACTTAATCATGCATGGTCGCCTTTTTTCATGTGACGTCACAATAGGTCAGAGGAAAGCAAGAAAACTTGACATCATACTAGGGTAATTGGAGTTTGGACCAATGAAGAACTGAGATCAAATGAACCACATGTTGATTAAATAAAAATGATCAACAGGTCAGGAAAATGACAGATTAGCTAAGAATTAGAGAAATATATAGATCAAGATGGTTCTTTCAGTGATGTCTCATAAAGTGAATTTACCCATTGTCATCAATATTCTATATCATGATAAAACCGGCATTTGAAAGGATAACTTTCTTAATAATAAAGCTGTCTTGTTAAGTCATAAAATCTGTATGTGTAGACTAAAAAGGATTGTAAATACATCATAAATATTATTGTACACTTGATCTGTGTATCTTAACTCATTTCTTGCAAAATTATAAAACTCAGCGCTTGTAAATTTTTTGTAATATTATAAAAACTCTGTGCTTGTAAAGGTAGATAATAATGCAGATCAGCCTGTTTCTCAAAACCTTTGAAATCTTAAATACTATTAGTTATATATTTGAATTTTCATATTTTTTTTTTTAATCAAGGCAAGTCCATAAATTTGTTATGCCCCTTCTCCAAAGGAGAAGTCGGATATAAAAAAATAAAGAGATGTAGAATGATTGCCAATGAGACAACTATCCATCAGAAAACAAAAGATGTGATATCAGCAGACATAGGATTTCAACAATGAGCAAAACACATACCATATAGTAATCTATAAAAGACCCTACATGACAAAATGTAAAACAATTCAAACGAGAACCAACAACCTGATTCATGATAAAACAATAAAAAAAAAAAAAACAGACAGACAGCAACCAATGACAACCACTGAATTTCTGACATGAGACAGGCACATTCAGAATGGAGCAGGGTTAAAGATGTTTGCTCATGCATGTTCATTTGTCAAGGTGTCTTGATATACATTTCTGTCATATAATTCCTATAAACAACAACTGACATAAAATTGGAATGGTTTCATACTGCTACATGTTCATGTGCCTGTCTTTATGAGGAACCTTAAGTCAGGAGTCAGGCATTATCTTTTGTTATATATCTTAATGTTTTTTTTTTTCATTTATGGAATTTTGTATTGATGGTATCTGTTTCACAACTCTTCATAAATTAGGATGATCTCGAGTCAGACATAATGCATATGACACTTGTCTATTGTTGAAGGCTATATGTTGACCTCCAGATTTGCTATTTTTCAGTATATATCAAATCTTAAAGCACTGATTATTTAAGGTTCACATGTTTTGGAAACCCTGATTGGTTCAGTTATTGATGTGACCTCATAAACTTTTGGAAACTATTTAGCTGTCTCATTCCATCAAATTTTACAAATGTTGCATAGAGACAGTTTGACCTTCAATGACATGAGATTCTTGTTGAAGGACAATTTTCATTACAGAACTTCTGCTAAGAATAGACATGAAAAAGATCTCTTATTACAGTAACATTTTCTTTTTACAAACAGATTTGCATAGTTGACTTATTTGTAATTGGAACACATCTCCTTATTTGTTTATTGAATGCAAAAAGTGTAAAAATTCAAAGCAATGAAAAAAAATATGTTTATAACAGGAGACTGTTATTACAATGTATAATTTCCACAAATCATAATGTGGTAATTTAAGAATTTGTGAAATTCATCTTTAAAAAAAAAAAAAAATCATTTAATACTTGAAACAATTTTTAGTTGTAATCCTGGATGTGTCATGGACCTTCAAGCACCATTTCAAAAGTAAAAGGTCTTACTAGTGCTTTTTCATTTTTCTCTGCAAAATTCAATATTAAAAGAAGATAAAACGATTTGTTATTGATTTATAATGTCATGGTTAAAATGATAAATCGATCTTGTTAATTTTTCATTTTTCACAAGATAACATTAAAATATTGTCCACAAAAAGGCAACTTTAACAATTCATGTTGAGCTCCATGAAGAGAAAAAAATGACTCATTCATCTCCTTTATTCCCTGTTTTATCTCAGTCTTCCATATTTATTTTATGGTTTGGACATAGACTGTTTGATGGCTTGACACGATTGTAATTGTTCAGACCAAGTGAGATTTGCTGATGTATTACGACTATTTTAAAGTGTATTACTTTCCATAACATAGAGAATGACAGAATATTAAGACAAGAGGATTACAATATATACTTTGTTAATTCACAGGGGAAATTGGACCGGACAGTTTGACAGATGAACAGCTGAATTTCTTAGCATCTTATGTCAACTCTCGGCTTAAAGAATTTGGAGTTTTAGGGAAAACAGACGTGTCAGACAGCCAAGACAAATCCCTTGAAAATACAGGTAATTATGTATATGATACTTATTTTATATTATGTAGAAAAATTATGTTTTGTTCAATGCAAAATTATTTTGTATACTAGAATGTTGATAAATTGCAAAATTATTTTGTATACTAGAATGTTGATAAATATAAAGAATCAGATATTCTTGTAAGACATGTTAGATATCTAATTTCAACATAAAAGACGTAGCCCAAAACAGACTATAACTCTGAATGTGACGTTAAAGAGTATTTTCATGATAGCTATGTTTTTGTATCTAGAATTTGTGCCAGAGCAGTCAGAGGATTCCCGACAGGAAGATGTTAAGAACCTTCAGATGGCCATGGAATCTGCTATGCAGTCAGCTAAGCAATCTCAGATATCTGAGGACAGTCAGACACAACAAAGTGATGCCCAAATTAAAGAAATGCTGCTTAATGAAGATGAAAGAACCAAGAAGGTCTTGGGAATTCCAGTTGTTGGTCCATGTATGTAGTACTACAGCTAATTGTTTTTTTTTGTGTTTTTTTTTAAGATGGCATTTAAAATCATTGAATCATATTCACAAGAAAATAACTTTTTTTCACATCTACAGGATTATAATTTTATTGTTTGTGCACTCCTCCCCCCCCCCCCCCCCCAAAAAAAAAAACAAAAAAAACCAATAAACTCAAACCAAAAGGCCAAAAGGCCAGACCACTGTTCTGGACCTTGTTAACCAGTTTGAGCATATTAGTGAAACATTTATTAAATCCATAGTTTTGATGTCTGTAATTTATGGTCTCCTTGTGATTCATCATTTATAGACTTTCTTAAATTCAACCCAGTTACATGTTGTAGTGATTAGTTTTATTTTCAAATCCTAATTGTGGGTTCCTTACCTTTAATCCCATTAGGCACACCCTATTATCACTATAATAGATACAATAGGATCTGTGTTATCTTTTGGCATTAAAAACAATTGTTTTTGTCGAGCCTGCGACTTTTGTCGCAGAAAGCTCGACATAGGGATAGTGATCTGGCGGCGGCGGCGGCGTTAGCTAACTTCTTAAAAGCTTTGTATTTTAGAAGGTAGAAGATCTGGATGTTTCATACTTTGTATATGGATGCCTCATGTTACGAAGTTTCCGTCAGTCACATGTCCAATGTCCTTGACCTCATTTTCATGGTTCAGTGACTACTTGAAAAAAAAGTTAATATTTTTTGTAATGTTAAATTCTCTCTTATTATAAGTAATAGGATAACTATATTTGGTATGTGCGTACCTTGCAAGGTCCTCATGCCCGTCAGACAGTTTTCACTTGACCTCGACCTCATTTCATGGATCAGTGAACAAGGTTAAGTTTTGGTGGTCAAGTCCATATCTCAGATACTATAAGCAATAGGTCTAGTATATTCGGTGTATGGAAGGACTGTAAGGTGTACATGTCCAACTGGCAGGTGTCATCTGACCTTGACCTCATTTTCATGGTTCAGTGGTTATAGTTAAGTTTTTGTGTTTTGGTCTGTTTTTCTTATACTGTATGCAATAGGTCTACTATATTTGGTGTATGGAATGATTGTAAGGTGTACATGTCCAACTGGCAGGTGTCATCTGACCTTGACCTCATTTTCATGGTTCAGTGGTTATAGTTAAGTTTTTGTGTTTTGGTCTGTTTTTCTTATACTGTATGCAATAGGTCTACTATATTTGGTGTATGGAATGATTGTAAGGTGTACATGTCTAGCTGGCAGGTGTCATCTGACCTTGACCTCATTTTCATGGTTCAGTGGTCAAAGTTAAGTTTTTGAGTTTTGGTCTTTTTTTCTAATACTATATATGCAATAGTTCAACTATATTTGGTGTATGGAAATATTTTATGATCTATATGTCAGTCACACAGGTTTTATTTGACCTTGACCTCATTTTCAAGGTTCATTGCTCAGTGTTAAGTTTTTGTGTTTTGGTCTGTTTTTCTTAAACTATAAGCAATAAGTCAACTATATTTGTTGTATGGAAGATTTGTTAGCTGTACATGCCTGCCTTGCATGGTTTATCTGGCCTTGACCTCATTTTCATGGTTCATTGGTCAATGTTTAGTTTACTTGGTTAATGTTAAGTTTATGTGGCAGTTGTAATAAAGCTTTATATTTAGGACTATCAACATAATATCAATGATTAGTAAAGAAGGCCAGACATTTCAGCGTGTGCACTCTTGTTGCTATCATGTATAGCATATTTTTATCTGTGTTTCTGGGATTAGGAGGGATGTTAACAAAGACAATATGGTTTTGAAAGGCATGAAGTTTTGAAAAATGGGCAAATATGAATTATTATTTCATAATATACAGTTTACTGTGTGGATTCATAATAATAATAATAATGACACTGTAATTAAAATTCCTTTCTTTTAAATTGAACTACTTATACAATTATTGTTTTCTATTTTGACAAAATGTTTTGTTTGAATAATTCAGCAATGAAGAAGAGTTTTCCAATGGATGGTGATGAAATAAAAAAAGATAGCAATATAGGTCAACCACTTTTTAGGACAGATGAAATGTTCATGAAGGTGTCTCAACAGTAAGTTATGCTTTGAAAACACTACTGAGAATGCAGGACCAGAAAATCTGTGAGGCACTCTTGTGACAAGTTTGTTACAGACAAGGAGTCCTATTCTTAGGGCTATTCCAGGAAAAACTTGTAAGGGAGGGTTGGATACCACATGCTATCTTTTTGCTATGAGTAATGGGGGTGAAAGCAAATTGTTGATGGTTACAATTGGATGGATGGTGGGGCATAAAGAAGTGTTGTCCAATATTTTTCCCTGGAAAAGCCTTTATATAGGTCTGAGATATTATTTATTTTCACCTTGTTGTTAGTGGACTGTAACATGAATGGTATGGATCAACATTTTCCCTACAATACAGAAGGTTGTCAAAGATTTCCAAGTCTTGCATGGTGACATTTTTAATGTCTTTGGTTGTTATTATTGTAAGATTCTATATGTAACTTCGTCAATAGCACATAGCTAATTTAGAATATGCTTTGTCAGGCAAATTAGTTCATGAATTCTATGTTTGAAAAAAAAAATTACCATCAATTCATAAATTTGTTAATGCTCATTATTCTTGATGTATATTTTTATAAATTAAAGAAAAACTGAAGACAGAATTTTTAAAGGGAATTAAAAAAAAAAAAAAAAAAATTCTCAGTTATGAAATTCCATTTTAACTCGTTACAATATTGGAACTAATGAAAACATTACAAATTACCTGCATTTACAGAAGACACCTGTAATAACCATATTTTGATGTTATCTGTTGACAGGTTGGATACCTATGATATAACAAAGTTAGTGTTGGCTATCTCCAATGTTACCAATGTATCACCTGAACCTGAAACTGCATTTAAGGAAATCAGGTAAAATAATACTTTGTTTTGTTGAAGAGATGAATGACATAAGTATTTAGCTCATTGGGCCTAAAGTTTATCACCTCCTGGGAGGGCTAATTAAAGCTATTCCCAACCCTTGTGTTTGTCATCCTCCTTAGTAAATATTTGAAAATTTTCTCATTGGAACATGTTGGATCAGTTGGAGCAAGGCTTTTTATGAATTATCTTTTTGGTATATAGTTTATCTCCAGCTTTTCAACCAGTTAGACTTACATAATTCTAAATTAGATAAAACAAATAGATTCTTTTACATCTGACCAATACCAGCTGGTTCTCACAAAAGGTTTTATTTCCTTCTTTTTCAAATTTGATGGCATGGCTTGAAAGGAAGTATAAATGATGCAGGTCTGATTGTTGAGAGTGGAGAAATAAACATCTGACAAGATATGGTAGTAGAATATTTTTCTCTCAGGAATCTTTACCAATATTTATGAAAAGATTAATGTTTATTTTTCCATAATCTGCAGGAGCAAAGTGATCTTTTATGTGACAATATCAGGTGTGGTCTCCTTTTATTGTGTAATCTCATCTGAAATTGAAAGTAAAAAATTTGATGTCATGATTGATTTGAATTTTGACTAATAAGGAAATGATTAGCTCATGGTAATTTCATGTGGATAAAAAAAATCAACCATTTAGAGAAAGTTTACATCAGCTAAAAAATAGAGAATTATTTATACTATCTCAGAATGCAAATAATAATGCTTTACTTTTTATTCAGGTTTTCATGTTATATGGTTTAAGAAGAAAACGAGCATAGCCTTGCAAAAGCTATATCATAATATTTTATTTTCATTTAAAAAAACATTTACTGAAATTTTCAAATTGGATTAAACTATATGTTACATGCTTATAGTATTGCTAGTACCATAGAAAAAAAGGATGTATAATGAAATCAAACATACCTTCTTCTGTTACCTATTCTAAAATCAGACTCCGACTTTTTTGGCACCTGTCCCAATTCAGGAACATCTAGCCTTTGTTAGTCGTGTGTTTTTTAAAAATTTTAGTTAATTTGTATGTTTTTCAGAGTTTAGTGTGTCGTTCCGCTGAACTAGTATACATTATTGTTTAGGGGCCAGATGAAGCCCATTTCCAGGTGCAGAATTTTCTTGCTGTGTTGAGGATCCATTGGTGGCCTTGGGATGTTTTCTGGTCTTTGGTTGGGTTGCTGTCTCTTTGACACATTTCTCATTCCCATTTCCATTCTCTATTCTCTCAGATGTTTCAATGCTTTAAATACTTTATGCTGTTTTTATTTTACCTCAGGAAGAAAGAACCAAAGTTGATATTTCTGTTGCCACTTATTTGTTGGGTAACAGCTGATAAGTCATACACAATTCTGTTAAATCACCTGACTCAAAGGGTCTGTGAAAGCTATTCACATGCTTACAAATCAGAAGTTCTAAATTCTTATAAGGAAGATTGCAATGTTTTTGTCTCCTCAAACTAAAGTAAATTCTGAAATTAATGTTTTCCTTAATTATTGCAAATACCCACCAACAATTGAAAATGAGAGAATAATTAATGCATTGTTTTGGCATAGTTGGAATTGAACATTAATTAGAATGGATTCTATGGAGGGGAGTGATGCACTTATTGGAACCTTAATTGGAAGAGTATTTTGAATGAAGGACATGAATTTAACCAAAATATTTATGCAGAATTTCTGTAATGTATAGCCACAGGATCTTATTATTTGCTGGCTGTCTTAAGACCAACTATTCAAAATTTATAGACATATTCAAAATATTTTAAGAGTATTTTCAAAATCAATCAAATTTAGTGCATTTTCACAAAATTGAAGTACAGAAAATACTCCCTAGACAAATTTTTGTTGTAAAAAATTTTAATTGATATATCTGCCATATTACAAATAGCTGACTTAGCAACATCAAACCCAGTTAAGTGTTCCGAACTTAGCTTAAAATTTCATTAAAAAGTCTGAAAAAAAATAATATAAAAAAAATTGTTTTCTTCTTAAAACACCACTTTGGTTCAAAACTTCTTTTAAATTAAATTAAGGGCAATGAAATAACATGTGCGATAGGAATTTCTTTACATGACAATTATATTGATGTAACTATATCTTTGTAAGGTTATTATTACCTTTATTTATAGGCTGTTATGTTAGCTTGATATTAGCTTACAAAAGGTTAATGGACAAAATGAGGGTTTAGTATGTTATTAAGAAATAAGTGCAAATAACAACCTAAGTTTACATGATCTTTTAACACAGAAAGAAGATACAGTACAAAATAATGTATAGGAAATCATTATTTGTTTTTTTTCTGTTTATCACTTCAGCAGAAATAGTAGTATTCCTAATACTTGGTGTACAAAAGTGCTTTGCAGATAACTGAAACTAAATTTCTACCAATCTTTTCCTTGTATCTGCTGTACCAAACTGTTTAACTTGAATATTTTTGTTGAAACCCCAACTTATACAATCATGCACCACTGTATACTTATGGTTGTTAATTTCTGTGTCATTTGGTCTCTTGTGGAGAGTTGTCTTATTGGCAATCATACCACATCTTCTTATTTTATATTTAAAGTACCTGTCAGTGAATCAGTTTGCATTTCATTATACTAACTGGGTTTTTCTGTTGGAAAATGTTGTTATTAATTTTTGGTAGTACGGGAGGTTGGTAGGCTGTTGTTGTGCAATAACTTGAGAACTGTTCAACCAAGGCTTTTCAAATTTTACAAGATGGAGGTCAAGTCTGACATTGTCAGTTATATAATTTTGGAGTTATTGTTTTTGATTGATTTGAAAATTGCACTATGTGTTGTGTCAGTGCAATAATATGAGAACAGTTAAACCACTGTTTTTTAAATTTTTATGTATTGTTACTCATGACAAAATTGATTATGATATTGGAGATTTCACATTTCCTTTTTCTTAATGTGCCACTGTACAAATGTACAACTGTACAAGTGCTATGCAGATAACTGAAACACATTTTTTGCCAATTTTGTTTTTTTTATGCCCCACTTAGGGGCATTATATTTTTCAGTCTGTGCATCCGTGCATTCGTTCATTCGTCCGTCCGTCCATCTGTCCGTTAGTCTATCCTTTCGTCTGTCTGTCCCGCTTCAGGTTAAAGTTTTTGGTCAAGGTAGTTTTTGATGAAGTTGAAGTCCAATCAACTTGAAACTTAGTACACATGTTCCCTATGATATGATCTTTCTTAATTTTAATGCCAAATTAGAGTTTGACCCCAATTTCACAGTCCACTGAACATAGAAAATGATAGTGCGAGTGGGGCATCCGTGTACTATGGACACATTCTTGTTTTGTATCTGCTGTACCAAACTAACTGTACAACCGATATGATTTTGTTTGAAACCTGACTGATACAATCATGCACTGCTGTATACTTGAATCGTCTTAAGTAGTCATGGTCCTTGATTGATTGGAAAATGACATTTTAAGTTGTTTCTGTGCAATAACTCCAGAAATGTTCAATCAATGCTTTTCTAAATATTTTGTTAGTGATGGTTAAATTTACATACTTATCTATAGGGGTTGCAACCCTTAAATGACATTTTTGACAGAGTTCAGTGTTTATGCCTTTGTTCTAAAAAACTATAATAGATAACCATTAACTATAAACAAGAAAGATAATCAGCAATTAAAGATCTACAGAAATGCTAATATTACTGATTTATTGGCTCCTTATATGATTATTGACCTTCATGACTTGTTTTAAAGAATAATTCCATTTTTCCTATTACCCTGGTACCTTGAAAACTATTACATGTTAAGAGAAACTATAAACAGCAAAAGTTATCAGTACTACAACATTTACAAAAATGTCATGATAACTAGAATGATAAATTAGCCCCTTATAGGAATTATTGGCTTTTAATGTCTATTATCTTTAAAAGTATAACATAAAGACAAAAACTGTAACACCAAACATGTTAGAAATATAAAATCTATAAAAAAGCAAAATGTCTGCAATCATTTATCGACAACTTATAATTTACCAGATGAGGGATTCAAGCTCCTTGGAGCCTCTAGTTACAATTTTAACCAACATTGTTAGCACAAAATATCCATTGTAGCAGATATAAACTTGTTAAAGTGACTTTCCTACAAATTTACATACTTATCTATAGGGGTTGCAACCCTTAAATGACATTTTTGACAGAGTTCAGTGTTTATGCCTTTGTTCTAAAAAACTATAATAGATAACCATTAACTATAAACAAGAAAGATAATCAGCAATTAAAGATCTACAGAAATGCTAATATTACTGATTTATTGGCTCCTTATATGATTATTGACCTTCATGACTTGTTTTAAAGAATAATTCCATTTTTCCTATTACCCTGGTACCTTGAAAACTATTACATGTTAAGAGAAACTATAAACAGCAAAAGTTATCAGTACTACAACATTTACAAAAATGTCATGATAACTAGAATGATAAATTAGCCCCTTATAGGAATTATTGGCTTTTAATGTCTATTATCTTTAAAAGTATAACATAAAGACAAAAACTGTAACACCAAACATTTTAGAAATATAAAATCTATAAAAAAGCAAAATGTCTGCAATCATTTATCGACAACTTATAATTTACCAGATGAGGGATTCAAGCTCCTTGGAGCCTCTAGTTACAATTTTAACCAACATTGTTAGCACAAAATATCCATTGTAGCAGATATAAACTTGTTAAAGTGACTTTCCTACAAAGTCAGTTAACATTATGACTGCTTATCATTAATTTTGTAGTGTTGATCATAATTTGAAATAAAAAAAACAGTTGCCTCATCTAAAACAGTTTTAAAAAAGCATGTAGCATTCACCAGATGATCAGTCCTTTTGTACTGCTACTTCAAATTTCAAATGTTGTATAATGAAATTGTGCAGCTTTGATTGTTCCTACTCAGCTACAGATTGCTATTCATTGACAATTGGCTCCAGCTTCCGATTTATAACCTAGAAAATACTGTGAAACTTTACTCTCACAGTCTCTCTCCTGTTTTGGTATTAACATCAATATGAATTAATAATGAGTGTAGTAGGTAGTTTGATTTATTAAAAAAAATCCACTGGTGAGCATGTGCTTCTTCTAAGGGATCTCTTTTTACCATTATAATAATGATAAATTCTAAATTACAAATGAGTTATAATTTCAAAGGTAATAATTGTTTTCTGAGAAGAGTATATGCTTCACAAACAGCTTCTTCAAAACCCAGATCACATTTTAAACAGGGTAATGTGTCTAGAGAGATTATTAAGAAGAATGACATGTATTATGATTTAGGATTAGTCTTACTTCTATTCATCGTGGACTCATTCATTTCCATATTTTATACATTTTGCTTTGATAGTCTTTATTAGGAAGGATTTTAATTGGACTTTGATGTTGGAGAGAGATAATTAGCACATTACAATATTCATTGTATGTAAGCTGTAAGCTAGTCAAGACATGTCTGATCTATCTGAAATATATCTTGGTGTAGAAGTATAAGACTTTTTATCTCCAGACTTCTGAAGGATTAAAACATAGAAACTCATTAAATTTATGAATTTATTTGGTTTTCTTCTAGTGACTTAAAAACAAATCTACCTCATTCTTCTTAATTGTACTTTCCATAAAAAAAAAAAAAACAAGTTATGGTTCTTCAAAGCTGAGAAACCTTCGAATGTCCATGATAAGATACATTTCATCAATTTGTGTTTTTTTTCTGTTTATGATTTTGATTTTAATCAGGTCATATTATGAGAACTTGTAGATTTTATTTGAGTTTTCCTTCAGATTGATTAGTTTGAGCCAATAATTACTGTTCTTTTATACTTGTGTAAGTTGTGATATCAAATTTTTATGCAAACAGGTTTTCGAAAACTTAGAAGTTGAAATTTTCTTTTTCATGTGAAGGCTTATTTTTCTTCATGATATCATTCCATTAAACAGATCTCTTTAAGACAATTTTCATATAATTGTAACAGTCTGCACTATTAGACACGTGTATGATTTCCCTAGACTGGTAAAATTTTATTTGGACTAGCGAGTATTTGCAAAACTTTGTTTAGACACATTAAAAAATGTCGGAAAATTGATATTTGGGCTAGTAGTTGGAAAATATTGTGGTGCAGGCTGTTGTTACCATTTTAAAGACTACAATTCAAAAATTTGTATTTCTAGAGAAGATAAAAGTAGAATATGGTGGAAGGTTGATCCTGACTTTACCAATGGTAGAGATGCTGAGGCTGTAGTTAAGGAAGCTGGTAAGTCTAAATAGGTTCATAGATTTTTTTTCAAAGATGATAGATAAATCAAAATACCGTGCATGAAACTGCACCTCTGTAAAAAAGATCAGCATGAGGAAAAATAAAGGTCATTGTCCTATGTCTCATGTGCAACTACCTTTAATTATTATGAAAATAACCAAACGTAGAATGATTGCCATTGAGACAACTATCCACTAGAGTTCAAATAACGTTGAAGATAATAAGTTTGCATCATAAGTCTAATATGTTGTCCCTTATTTGAGGAATATTTCAAAATCAAAGTAGATCATTTGAAGGTACTTTTCATGTATAATATCCCTGCTTACTGAACCAGTGGTATATAAATATTTTTGTGTCCATCCTTCTGTTTAAAATAAGGAGATGTGGCATGATTGCCAATGAGACTATCCAACAGAGTTTAAATGAAGCAGATTTAAGTAAATATTTGTCATGATACGACATTCAACCATGTCAATGTGGAAAAACTATACTATATAGTAAGCTATAAAAGGTCCCAACATGACAAAATGTGATGCAGTTCAAAGGAAAAAAACAATAGCATAATTTATTACAAAATAATAAAAAAAAAAACACAAATATGACAGACAGCAACCAACAGCAACCACTGAATTATAGGCTTCTGTCTTGGGACAGGCATATATAAAATGTTGCAGAGTTAAATATGTTTGTGAGCACTTAACGTTCCCCTACCCTGGGACAGTGGTATAACAGCACAACATAAGAACAAACTATTAAAATAAGTTTGAAATTGCTTGAATCATCAGATTGGTATTATGTACAAAAACAACTAACATAGTAACTAAGATAAACATGGACAGAAGCTTTTTTGTGATCAAAAGACAGTATACAATGGTATATGGAAAATATTTTATTCATAAAGTGTTACCCTTGACCGTCCTTCCATCCGTCTTTCTGCAGAGCGTCCATCTTAAGTTTGCCTCATCTCATTTTATAAAACTCATACACAATGATAAGAATCATAATAGGCAGACATAGTTCAAGTTTGGGCAGTGAGTCATTTACCGTTCTAGAGTTATGTCCCTTTTTAACTTGGAAAATTGCAAAGCTTGAATGGGGGCATTGGTGTCCATTTTTACTTCTGGGTAAATTAAGTTTAAACTTTTTTAATGTGAACAAATTCCTTATGTATTATAGTCAATTTATTTTTCTTCTACTTAAATAACGATATGCTTTGTGAAGGCAACAGTACAGTTTATACAATGCTTTGTAAAGTCAACAGTACAGTTTATACTGTGCTTTGTAAAGGCAATAGTACAGTTTATACTAAGCTTTGTAAAGGCAACAGTACAGTTTATACTGCGCTTTGTAAAGGCAACAGTACAGTTTATACTATGCTTTGTAAAGGCAACAGTACAGTGTTTACTACGCTTTGTAAAGGCAACAGTACAGTTTATACTGCGCTTTGTAAAGGCAACAGTACAGTTTATACTATGCTTTGTAAAGGCAACAGTACAGTTTATACTACGCTTTGTAAAGGCAACGGTACAGTTTATACTGTGCTTTGTAAAGGCAACAGTACAGTTTATACTGCGCTTTGTAAAGGCAACAGTACAGTTTATACTATGCTTTGTAAAGGCAACAGTACAGTTTATACTACGCTTTGTAAAGGCAACGGTACAGTTTATACTGTGCTTTGTAAAGGGAACAGTACAGTTTATACTGCGCTTTGTAAAGGCAACAGTACAGTTTATACTGCGCTTTGTAAAGGGAACAGTACAGTTTATACTATGCTTTGTAAAGGCAACAGTACATTTTATACTACGCTTTGTAAAGGCAACAGTACAGTTTATACTGTGCTATGTAAAGGCAACAGTACAGTTTATACTGCGCTTTGTACTACGCTTTGTAAAGGCAACAGTACAGTTTATACTACGCTTTGTAAAGGCAACAGTACAGTTTATACTGTGCTTTGTAAAGGCAACAGTACAGTTTATACTGTGCTTTGTAAAGGCAACAGTACAGTTTATACTGTGCTTTGTACTACGCTTTGTAAAGGCAACAGTACAGTTTATACTACATTTGTAAAGGCAACAGTACAGTTTATACTGTGCTTTGTAAAGGCAACAGTACAGTTTATACTGCGCTTTGTACTACGCTTTGTAAAGGCAACAGTACAGTTTATACTACGCTTTGTAAAGGCAACAGTACAGTTTATACTGTGCTTTGTTAAGGCAACAGTACATATTACACTGTGCTTTATAAAGGCAACAGAACAGTTTACACTGTGCTTTATAAAGGCAACAGTACAGTTTATACTGTGTTTTGTAAAGGCAACAGTACAGTTTATAATGTGCTTTGGAAAGGCAACAGTACAGTTTATACTGTGCTTTGTAAAGGCAACAGTACAGTTTATACTACACTTTGGAAATACTGAATCTGGAAGCAATGTTGGTAATTGTAAAATGAACTACATTGTATTAGTACATTATTTAAACATTATATAAATGTAGTAATCAAAATTGACAACAACACTTCAAATGGTCTGCAACGTTATTTACTATGGTCTACATGTTTCACCTGCAAGGCAGGCATCATCAGGACAATTTACATACAGAAATTATTTACTGAAGTACACAAACTGGTATCTTGAATTTGACATCACAATGTGTGTTGTCAAGGTGAGAGAAACAATGAAAAGTGAAAGTAGCAATAAAGAATTATAAATAGAAAAGATAAATATAGAAAAATAAAGTTTGTTTACAATATAACTTGAGTTCGTTTTACTGTTATATGATACATGACATTGTTCTAAAGGCTTGGTTCTAAATGGACGAACTTCCTATGGTTCCTACCACTTCGCAAGGCTTCTCTTCCAACCTGGCCATTGTTGGTTGTTACTACTTCCTGGCGCGTCGGTAACAATGGAAAGATTTTGATCACCGCTAATGGAAAAGATAATATTGTCAGAAATTGTTCCCTTGTTAATTATTTGGTATATATATAGTTTTTTTTATGGTCTGCTGTAGTTATAATCCATTTATCGGCCTGGTTGTAAATTATATAAATGTGTTTACATGTACTATGTTATCAATGTTATTGTCTCCCCTGGATGAAGTCATGGATGCAAGACAGGTAGTACTGTTTACAGTGTCGGCTGCACCAACAATTTGATATATTGACTGAAATTTTTGCATACTGAAGTTTACATGTTGAATTGCCATAATAATTTAAATGTTTGCATTATACCATTAAAATAACATACAGGCCAGACATGTCTATGTGTCAACAGTTTATATAACAAAACATTTTTTTCCTCTGAATATGTATTTGTACATAATGAATAATTGATTGGATTTAATGCAGGAAGTGTTTTCTAAAACATCGCCTTTCCTTTCGTTCTTTTAAAAAATTACAGAAGTAAATTGATGCACACATTTAAGATTTAATTATCAAAATTTAATCATGTACAATTTTGCCTTTAGAAAGTAACAAATTTTCATTAGGAGTACTATCTTTGAAATAGTTTATTATCTGCAAATTACTTAAAACATTCCTAAAATTGCTGAATCAACAAAGTTTACTATTGATTGATTTGGAGATTGACAAAAATGTCGTTAATTTAGAATCGGGAAGTTATTTTTCAACCATATTACTTTGTGACAATTTGTCTTTTATTTTTACGAAGGTTGTAATTTTATTTTATTTCTTCTAAGAATTCGATATTAGTCATTCTACAAGGAGAATGAACACAACTCAAGTACTTGGTCATGCATTTCACTTTTCCATTAAAAGATTTTAATCCTGTCTAGAAAATAAATCATTGTATTGTACCAAAACAAATAAACTTTGTGTTTTATTAGGTATCGATTTTCTTGCTCCTACATTTATTTTCTTTTTCATTTTAAAATCGTGAGTTTTTGCAGTAAAATAAACAGAATATTGTCAATTTAAAGTTAATCCTTCATTTTTATGTAAAACTTTATTCTTTAGTGAAGACAAGCTAAAAACACCTCCATTTAAATTGATTTTTAGTTTGCTGTAATGTTTTATTGACACACCAGTGTACCAGATGTTTAGTGTGAAATTGTTATAGAGGCCACGAAATTAGGTCAAAACAAAAGTTGGACCTCATTTTTGGAAAACAGTGTTTTGAACTCTGTATTGTGAGTTAAGATAAGGAGGAAAATATGTTTAAATGCTCATTTCATCTTTGAGTTTGAATTACATAATCATATGAACAATAAAAGTAAAAAGGCCTATTAAAAGATCATAGAAGATTTTTGTAATATCATTCTTGACTTATTTGATGTAATAATAATGATTTTTTGGCAGTTAAGCTGCCATATGCTAGCACCCTAGATTTGCCTTTTTATCAAAGAATACTGAAGTAGATGCCATTGTTGTTATCTAGCAGGCTAATAGGTTATTTATAACTAATTGGACACTTTTTTCATACTTTTAATTCTGGAATACAAAAAATATGACCAGAATAACCTTAATTGATCGTTGAACAACGTAAAATAATTGACGTTGCACATAGGAAATAGTGCTTTATAGAAATTTGTACATTGTTTATTATCCTGTGTGCTTTTGGTTAAGATGTCAGTCAAAGAACAATTGTATGAAATATTTAATCGCAGAAAATCTCTAAATACAAGTCGTTTACATTTCCCAAATGGCAAAAGGCGTAGAAATATTGTTTGGCAGCAACACAGAATTACAGTAGTCTAAGTTGGCGGTAATTTTAACTTAGAAGACGAAACGTACCTTTTAAATTTGTAGGATTCTGATAATAGAAAGGTAATTATTGTTAATCATGATATTCTTTTTGTTTAAGATGATTGTGATTTTTTAATTGATTTCAATTAAATGTATGCACATTTGAATTCCTTCCTTTTATATTATTCCGTTTATCACATAACTCACCTTGTTAAATAATGTTGTTGTTATTTATGAATGAAATAGAACCGGAAATCGACGTTGATTGATCGATATATTTCAAAACAGTCTCACTA